CGGGTTCACGCCATTCTCCTGCCTCAGCCTCCCGAGTAGCTGGGACTACAGGCGCCCGCCACCTCGCCCGGCTAATTTTTTGTATTTTTTAGTAGAGACGGGGTTTCACCGTGTTAGCCAGGATGGTCTCGATCTCCTGACCTCGTGATCCGCCCGTCTCGGCCTCCCAAAGTGCTGGGATTACAGGCTTGAGCCATCGCGCCCGGCCAATAAATATTCTTTTATTCCTTTTTTACCACCCCATTATGTAGAAGATTGTAAATATTCTTTAAGAAATATGACCTGAGGCTGGGTGCGGTGGCTTATGCCTGTAAGCCCAGCACTCTGGGAGGACAAGGTGGGCAGATCACGAGGTCAGGAGATCAACACCATCCTGGCTAACACGGTGAAACCCCATCTCTACTAAAAATACATAAAATTAGCCAGGTGTGGTGGCGGGCACCTGTAGTCCCAGCTACTCAGGAGGCTGAGGCAGGAGAATGGCGTGAACCCGGGAGGCGGAGCTTGCAGGTGGATCACGAGGTCAGGAGTTCCAGACCAGCCTGACCAACATGGTGAAACCCTGTCTCTACTAAAAATAAAAAAATTAAGCCAGGTGTAGTGGTGTGTGCCTGTAAGTAATCCCAGCTACTCAGGAGGCTAAGGCAGGAGAATTGCTTGAACATGAGAGGCGGAGGTTGCAGACAGCCAAGATCATGCCACTGCACTCCAGCCTGGGTGACAGACTGAGACTCCATCTCACAAAAAAAAAAAGAAAGAAAGAAAGAAAAAGGCCGGGCACGGTGGCTCAAGCCTGTAATCCCAGCACTTTGGGAGGCCGAGGCGGGTGGATCACGAGGTCAGAAGATCGAGACCATCCTGGCTAACATGGTGAAACCCCGTCTCTACTAAAAAAAATACAAAAAACTAGCCGGGCGAGGTGGCGGGCGCCTGTAGTCCCAGCTACTTGGAGGCTGAGGCGGGAGAATGGCGTAAACCCGGGAGGTGGAGCTTGCAGTGAGCAGAGATCGGGCGACAGAGCGAGACTCCGTCTCAAAAAAAAAAAAAAAGAAAGAAAAAGAAAAGAAATATGACCTAGTATTATTTTTATATGGGGCTAAAAATGACCAAAACATAAAATATAGTACATATAAAAGGAATCTGACATGAATAACTTTATACATCAATTATTATAAATGTCCTAAGACTCTTTTCCTGTAAATTCAAAATTATTTTTTCCTATGGCTGATAAAAACATTGACCAGACTCCTAACTCACTTGTACTTAACGTACTTTAAAAGAGAAAATGATGCTACTGACTATCGATATTTTTCTTCAAGTTGTTGGCACGGCTATTAAGACCAGTCAAGGGTAAACACCTCTTGAGTTTTAAATACTCCAGGTAGAAGATATTTAAACCTGTAATTATGAATTAAGTTTTCTTTGTATGGATGAAATAAATGAAATATAAAAAGCTTAATTACCATGCCAATAGACCTACTAAGTACTCTAAAAAACATTACTTCTAGGCTGGGTGCCATGGCTCATCCCTGCATTCCCAGCACTTTGGGAAGTCCAGGGGGACATATTACCTGAGGTCAGGAGTTCCAGACCAGCCTGGCCAACATGGCAATAATACCCCGTCTCTATTAAAAATACAAAAGTTAGCCGGGTGTGGTAGTGCACACCTGTAATTCCAGCTACTCGGGAGGCAATACCCCGTCTCTATTAAAAATACAAAAGTTAGCCGGGTGTGGTAGCGCACACCTGTAATTCCAGCTACTTGGGAGGCCGAGGCAGGAGAATCATTTGAACCCAGGAGGCGGAGGTTGCAGTGAGCTGAAATCAGGCCATTGTACTCCAACCTAGGCGATGGAGACTCCATCTCAGAACAAACAAACAAAACAACAACAACAACAAAAATTACTTCATTTTGTCTGGGCGTGGTAGCTCATGCCTGTAATCCCAGCACTTCGGGAAGCCGAGGCGGGCAGATCACGAGGTCAGGAGATCGAGACCATCTTGGCTAACACAGTGAAAACCCATCTCTATTAAAAATACAAAAAACTTAGCTGGGCATGGTGGCGGGCGCCTGTAGTCCCAGCTACTCAGGAGGCTGAGGCAGGAGAATGGTGTGAGCTTGCAGTCAGCCGAGATCATGCCACTGCACTCCAGCCTGGGCTGACAGAGCGAGACTCCGTCTCAAAAAAAAAAAAAAATTATTTCATTTTACTCAACATTTACATGATGCTGACCAACTTCAATTAGCACGAGTTGCACATACGAGTAAATAAACACAATTCATTTTTAAATCCCGAAAGTTTTAAACCCAGTAGTTAAAAACACTTTGGTAGGGAACCTCAAAAATTGGCTGGGATAAATCCATTAATCAAAGGAAATGGTACAGCCTTGACTAGATCATTCTTACACCCTCAAAAAAAAAAAAAAAAAAAACATTTAGGTCTTCTTACCCCCAAAGAACACAAGGTAGATTGGGACATAAACTCTCTTTTACCAAGTGACTGATAGGAAACATTAAAACTGAGACGGTTGTTTCTGTGTAAAAGAAATCATCCTCAAAACAAATAGGAACCAAGGCTGAGGCAGGATTGCTCGAGGCCAAGAGTTCTAGACCAGCCTGGACAACACAGAAAGCCTGTGTAAAAACAAACAAAACAAAACAAAAACAAAGAAAAAAAGATAAAAAAACTAGCCGGGCATAGTGGCGTATGCCCCATTGCCCTTGCTACTCAGGGAAGCTGAGGCAGGAGGCTCTCATGAGCCAAGGAGCTTGAGGCTGCAGTAAGCTATGATCACACTCCTGCACTCTGGTGTGGGTGACAGAGCGAGATCCTGCCTAAAAATAATAACCAGTAATTATATTATAAACATACAACCAAAAACTTCACGGTTTAATACATTTGCACAGAGGACCGATAAAGGGTTCTATAGAACAACTAGGTTTTTTAATAAAGTGTGCGGATTTGAATATTTCATTTTCAAACAACTGGTTTTTTTTGTTTGTTTTTTTTTTTTTTGAGACGGAGTCTCGCTCTGTCCCCCAGGCTGGACTGCGATGGCGTGATCTCGGTTCACTGCAACCTCCGCCTCCCGGGTTCAAGCGATTCTCCTGCCTCGGCCCCTGCCACCAGGCCCGGCTAATTTTTGTATTTTTTTTTCTTTAGTAGTTTCACCATGTGGGCCAGACTGGTCTAGAACTCCTGACCTCGGGTGATCCACCCGCCTGTGCCTCCCAAAGTGCTGGGATTACAGGAGTGAGCCTCCGCGCCCGGCCTCAACCAACGTCTACTGAAAGAGTTTAAATACTACCTTCTTTTTCAGAACAGGGGAACATAATGGGTAAAAGGGCACACTTTACTTCAAAAGTAAATTTGTTTATTAATAAATTAAAGTAGCTTTCCACAAAACAAGACGTTGAAACAATAAGGTGTGATAGGTCTTTTATTTATTGTACAAATATTTTGCACTACTATGTGTCACACACCGGACTTAAGACGTTTAAGACGTTCAACTTCTCTAAAACTTAGGATAAGATTTTCAATTAAATTTACCTGTGTCTATTACATTTGTCTTTCATTTTTGCCTGAGTAGCTGGGAAAACACATTAGACAGGTTCCTTAAAAACTAAAGTAAACTTTGAAGGAAGGAGTAATTTCGGTTTACACTAGTGATAACTCGCAACAACCCCAAACACCACATTCACTGTCTCTTACAAGGCATTTTATGTTACACCAATTACTAGTTTTAGCTCCATCCTACTACGACTTGAAGCCTGGTAACTCGGCAGGCATAAGCAAACACACAAAAAGCATATTAAAATCCACAGGAAAAAAAGCAAACTATTCTCAAACAAAACATGCTTTGCTGGAGCCGATTTGAGATTTAACCAGGATCAGACATTCCAAATTGCAATACTGTTGCACCAGAATGTCATGCAATAAATTTTTCCTGAATCCTAAGTCTTTCCTTTCCTCAAGCAAAATTTACCAGTAAGGGAGAAAAACGCAATCCAAACTGTGAGTAATTTTCAAATATTTGTTTATAGGGCCGGGTCCGGTGGCTCACGCCTGTTATCCCAGAACTTGGGAGGCCGAGGTGAGTGGACCACCTGAGGTCAGGAGTTCGAGACCGGCCTAACCAACATGGAGAAACCCGGTTTCTACTAAAATACAAAAATTACCCGGGCGTGGCGACGCATGCCGGTAATCCTAGCTACTCGGGAGGCTGAGGCAGGAGAATCGCTTGAACCCGGGAGGCGGAAGTGGCAGTGAGCCGACATCACGCCATTGCACGCCAGCCTGGGCAACAGGAGCGAAACTCCATCTCAAAAATAAATAAATAAATATTTAAAAATTATAATAGGCGCTTTAAAATGTAGTTTAAACTGTTCCTTTCAATTCTGCGTGAAGCCGTCCCGCCAAAAGATGTCCTGTTGGTGGGAAAAATTAAACTAGAAAACATAAACGGTTCAAAAAGCCCTCCATACGCAAAAGTATAAAAAGGCGGGAATTTCCTTAATTCAAATTTTGGTTAGAAATTAGTGTGTCATCAGTTGCCCTCCAGGGAGCGCTGTGAGACTCTGCTGCGAGTCATTTCAGTTAATAAAGCGGGAAAACGCTCGAACTTAACCTATAGCATTTTGGGGCCACCCCTCCAGAGCTTTCGAAAGGCCACGGAAGTCCCCGTCTAAACGCCCGCTGCCGGCAGCTGGTGGTCCAGGGAAGCCGCGTCGCCCGCGTGCAAAACAACCGCCACCAACGCAACTCCACACCTCCCAGACACACACGTCAAAGAACGCGAATCCCGGTGCCCCAACTTCTGGCCTCTCCGCTCCAGCGCCTGCAGCCCCGCGGGGAAGGGGCAACGCGAGGGGGCGCAGGGACAGCCCCGCACCTGGGAGGCCCAAGGGGGCGCCCGGGAGGGAGGGGCTGCAAACGGCGGCGAGCGCGCGCGGCAACCGCCAAACGCCCGCCTTTGTGGCCCCGGCCCCGCGTCCTTACCCTGCCGACGGCTGCTCGGCTCCGGCCCGCGGCGGCGGCCACAGAGCCGAGAATCGGCGTGGGCTCGCGTTCCTCGTCACTGGAGAAGTCCGGGGGCCCCTTGCTGTTGGCGCCGGCGGCGAGCGGCGGCCGGTTGCGCGCCGTGAGGTGCTGCAGGTAGAGCTGGACGTACACGTCTTTGCGCTGCTCCCCAGCCGGCAGCGTCACATTGTTGGCGACCAACTCACTCTTCAACTTGTCCTTCGTCAGGACCGAGGGGTCTTCCAGGAACTCCGGCATCTCGGGGATCTGCGAAGCCCCCTCCCCGCAGCCTTCGCCGCCGCCGCTCACGCCGGCGCGCTCGCTCCTGGCCGGGGGCCGCGCTGCCGCCTCCGAGCCTCACGGCTCCTGCCCAGTAGGAGCGCTGCGGAGCGGAGCAAAAACTCGCGGACACAAAGCCAAGCCAGACCCGGACACAAAAGACCCCAGAGCCGAACTACGGACGAAGTGCAGCCAAGCTGGAAGCCCGCACCAACCCCAGCCTACACACTACAGGCAGGAGGCGAGCAGCTTGCTTCGCCCACGCCCCAAGAACGCGCGGCGCCATTGGCGGGCGACGGGAGGAAGCGCGGCGGTGATTGGCGGGACGGCCCGCGCGGGTTCCATTAGCCGCCGCGCTGAGCGAGAGGAGGTAGAAACGCAGTTTAAAAGGCGCTGGGGCGGGAGCCGAGGCGCCCGGCCCGCTTCTGTTTTCATTTTCTCCACCCTTCCCCTTAGACGCCGATAAGGGACAGGTCGTACTGCTTTTGTGCGCCGTTTCCTCTCCCTCCCCCAGCTTGAGAAGCAGCTTTCGTCTCTGGGGTCGATCGCCTACGAACCGGCCGAATTCCACGCCGGCTGTGAGGACCCTTGTCTGGGCCTTTCTTCCTCCCGGGACACTGAAGCACCGAAGAGTAGCCGCAGCCTTGCCTTCCCCAAACGCTAGCCATGAAGGGGAAGAAAAGAAGCGAGACTTGTCTGCAGGCACTCATATTCCTTGATTTGATTTACTTTGGGAGGGGGAGGGCAGGGAGTTACCCCTCTGTCTACTCGCGAACGCTTCTTTTGTTCCAGAAACCCGGGAGAAGCCAGACCTCTACCATCGGGCACTTTACCCTTGAATTTGTGACAAAAGTGTACTATACCGTTCACTTCTTAGTCTCGTAGTTGGGGCATGTCTAAATTGTTTAATTTGAACAGTGCGTTGAGACTCAAGACAAATTCGCGCTTGCATTTTTGTTGAAACCGATCCTGGCTTTGGATCCCACTAACGTTTGATAACAAAACGAAGCCGAACCCTTGGGAACCCCCTCAATGGTCAATTTAAAATAGCAGATGTTGCGTAATCCTAAAGGAAGCCTAGTGACCTATAATTAGGCCGAGAACCCTAATCAAACCCGTATTACTAATCCAAATTAAAACCTGGTAGTGACTGCAATTAAAATGTTTGCCTGAAAATTAGTATCACTGATGACAAATATTTGTATTTCTGATGAATATGTATGATTAAAGATTCTAGAAAAGAAAGGAGACCTTGGATCAAGAATGTGTTAATAATTTCCCCAGAATCTGAGCTCCAAACTATATTTTAGAAACTGATTACATTTTTTTTGGTTTGCCTGCTTTCTACACTGTTAGGTTAGAATATATTTAAAACAAACGCTTTCACTAAAAATGTTTCCTATGATTTAAGCGACTTACTTTTGTTCAAATTGAGGAGATACTTCTTTTAGTGATATTTTCCTAGAGGTAACTAGTTTATAAAAATCTCAGTATCCATATATAAGCAATGGTATTAAGCTCAATAATGCAAATTAAAAATCAGGTTTTAATTAGCAAGTTGTTAGGTAGATTTTTATGATCCCTTGTAAAAGTTACTTGGTTTTTTGCCCCTACGGCTTCCCTGGACACATAGGCAAATGTTTTTATCTTCAGAAGGGGAACTGAGCTGAGAGGCAAAGGACCATGATTTTGCAATGACTGGTAACCCAGTACGTATAATGCAAGAACTGCATTCTAGATGCCTGCAATTAATGTTTCCTGGGCAAAAACATTTTCATTATCTTTTTCTTATCCCTGGACATTAGCTACAGGTGGTTATACTTGCGGATTTACTGCTGTAGAACTCCAAAATTGAGATTACACTTAACAGATTCAGCATACCCTAACACAAAGAGGTTAGGCTATTGAGATTGGGTGGTCTCTTTGGTCCTGATTGCTACTTCCAAACTATTTCTGCTCTTTTCTCCTTCAAAAATACTTGAAGTTCTTATCTTCTGGCCAAATCACCTTCTACTCTCCTTACTGCCATCATCCACGAGCCTCCTGGCCACTTCCCAGAAATTATAGAGCTGCTTGTCGTAGGTTTTCCTCACCATCCCTCTTGTCTACATTCTATCTGAATTCAACATCCTTGTAGGTGACCCATGCAACACCAACACTTGGCCTCTTAGACCTCTGACCTCTTCATCTCCAAGAATTTGTTCCTCTGTTGCGTCTTAACCACTTCGGTGTCACTCAGATTCTGAACCTTGTCATCAGTTGAAATCTCAGTTTCAAGCTTCCCAATTTGTCAATCACTAGCCCTTTTTTCCCAGCTAATTTATTGTACTCTCAATTACCTAATTAAGACCTCCACTCTATTAACCCCAACACTTAAAAAAACTCAACTCTTCTGCTTCTGCGATCATATAATCATTTTGCAAGTCACCTGACTTAAATTCCCTAATCAGTCCTTTTCATCCTCTTTTACAAACATTTTCAACTCTGATCTCAATGTCTCCTTTTTTGCTTGAAAGAATCTCAGCCTTGCTTGGACTAAACCATGCTCCAGCTGAACTTTCTCATTTCTTGAATCCAAACAGCAAAAGCTGCTGGAGAAAAGTCAGTCAGTCATATAACAAGCTAACTGGTTTTAATTCATGACCTCAGTCCTCTCAGGAGCACTCAACACTGGCTGGCAATGCTATTCCAGTCTCTGGATTAACCATTCATGTGTTCACATCTCCTCAAATTTCACGTCCTTTTTCCCCACCTCTCATTTTTAGCTGGTGACCTTGCCTCAACTTCAGAAAATAAAAACCACCTGTGGGGAATGCTTCAACGTCAGACTTTCCAATCTGCATTCATTTTCTCTTGCATTTTTTTTTTCAGTGAAAGATGTGTCCTGTCAGAAGCAAATTCTACCACTTATACTCTGGCTCTTGCCCTCCTCAAGGAATTGACTCTTTCCATCACCTCCTTAATACTTGTTTCAACATAAAAGATAATTTTTAAAGTGTTTGATCAATGTAACACACAAAACACAAAGGCTAAGCATGGTGGCTCACGCCTGTAATCCCAGCACTTTGGGAAGCTGAGGCAGGCAGATCCCTTGAGCCTAGGAGTTTAAGACCAGCCTAGGCAACACAGTAAAACCCCATCTCTACAAAAGAAATACAAAATTTAGCCAGCATGGTGCCCACCTGTAGTTCTAGCTACTAGGGAGGCTGAGGCTGCAGTGAGCCATAATCCCATCACTGCACTCCAGCCTGGGCAACAGAGTGAGACCCTGTCTCTGAATAAATAAAATACCAAGTCGTTTTAATTCAGAAAATTTCACAGGGAAATGAGAGTTTTGAGAAATCTTAATATTCTGACTGGTCAGAATGTCCAACAGAGACTAGGCTGGAGTACAGTGGCATAGTCTTGGATCACTGCAACCTCTGCCTCCTGGGTTCAAGCATTTCTCCCTGCCCCAGCCTCCTGAGTAGCTGGAATTACAGAAGCCTACTAACCCCCCAGCTAATTTTTTTGTATTTTAGAGGCTGGGTTTCGCCATGTTGACCAGGCTGGTCTCGAACTCCTGACCTCAGGTGATACACCTGCCTCAGCCTCCCAAAGTTCTGGGATTACAGGCGTGAGCCACTGTGCACGGAGGATGCAATTTTTAGGGAGAGGGGGAGACAGAGTCTCCCTCTGTTGCTCAGCCTAGAGTGCAGTGGCACAATCTCAGCTCACTGTAACCTCTGCCTCCCAATTCAAGCAATTCTTCTGCTTTAGCCTCCTGAGTAGCTGGGATTACAGGCGCCTGCTGCCATGCCCAGCTAATTTTTTTGTAATTTAGTAGAGACAGAGTTTCACTATGTTGACCAGGTTGGTCTCGAACTCCTGACCTCAGGCAATCCGCCTGCCTCGGCCTCCCAAATTGCTGGGATTACAGGCATAAGCCACTGCGTCTGGCCTGATGCAATATTTTTTTTTTTTTTTTTTTTTTTTTTTGTAATCAGAAATCTTTCCTATGACTTAAAAAAAAAAAAAAAAAAATCATCTGGAGCTGGGCCCGGTGGCTCACACCTGTAATCCCAACACTTTGGGAGGCTGAGATGGGCGGATCACCTGAGGTCGGGAGTTTGAGACCAGCCTGACCAACATGGGGAAACTCTGTCTCTACTAAAAATACAAAATTAGCCGGGCGTGGTGGTGCATGCCTATAATCCCAGCTACACAGGAGGCTGAGGCAGGAGAATCACTTGAACCTGGGAGGCGGAGGTTGCAGTGAGCCAAGATTGTGCCATTGCACTCCAGCCAGGGCAACAAGAGCAAAACTCCATCTCAAAAAAAAAAAGGCCGGGCGCGGTGGCTCAAGCCTGTAATCCCAGCACTTTGGGAGGCCGAGGTGGGCGGATCACAAGGTCAGGAGATCGAGACCACAGTGAAACCCCATCTCTACTAAAAATACAAAAAAAATTAGCCAGGCGCGGTGGCGGGCGCCTGTAGTCCTAGCTACTCAGGAGGCTGAGGCAGGAGAATGGCGTGAACCCAGGAGGCAGAGCTTGCAGTGAGCCGAGATCGCGCCACTGCACTCCAGCCTGGGCAACAGCGTGAGACTCCGTCTCAAAAAAAAAAAAAAAAAAAAAAAAAAGAGGGTGGGTAAAATGAGGCTGAGACCTACTGGGCTGCATTCCCAGACAGTTAAGGCATCCTAAGCCACAAGATGAGATAGGAGGTCAGCACAAGATACAGGTCATAGGCTGGGCGCAGTGGCTTATGCTTGTAATCCCAGCACTTTGCGGGGGCCGAGGCAGGCAGATCATGAGTTCAGGAGTTCGAGACCAGCCTGACCAACATGATGAACCCGTCTCTACCAAAAATACAAAAATTAGCCGGGCATGGTGGCGCGTTCCTGTAGTCCCAGCTACTTGGGAGGCTGAGGCAGGAGAATTGCTTGAACGCGGGAGGTGGAGGTTGCAGTGAGCCGAGATTGCACCACTGCACTCCAGCCTGGGCGAGAGTGAGACTGTCTCAAAAAAAAAAAAAAAAAAAAAAAAAAAAAAAGACACAGATCATAAAGACCTTGCTGGTAAAACAGGTTGCAGTAGCCTACCAAAACCCACCAAAACCAAGATGGCAATGAGAGTGACCTCTGGTTGTCCTCACTGCTACACTCCCACCAGCACCATGACAGTTTACAAATGCCATGGCAATGTTAGGAGGTTACACTATATGGTCTAAAAAGGGGAGGCATGAATAATCCACCCCTTGTTTAGCATATAATAAAGAAATAACCACAAAAATGGGCAATCAGCAGCCCTCTGGGCTGCTCTGCCTATGGAGTAGCCATTCTTTATTCCTTTACGTAATAAACTTGCTTTCATTTTATGGACTCGCCTTGAATTCTTTCTTGTGTGAGGTTCAAGAACCCTCTCTTGTGGTCTGGATCGGGACCCTGGTAATACCGACGTAATAAACTTGCTTTCATTTTATGGACTCGCCTTGAATTCTTTCTTGTGTGAGGTTCAAGAACCCTCTCTTGTGGTCTGGATCGGGACCCTGGTAATACCGAGATTTATTTTTCTTTCACAGGACTTAAGTAAAATAATCTCAGGAAAAAAAAAAAGCTAGGCTATTAAACAGGTGAAATAAATGAGCAGAGCATTCTGTAGTAGTGGATAAGTCCTCTTGGAAGAATAAAGAAGTCCTCTTGGAAGAAGAATAAATAAATAAGAATAAATAGACATTTCTTAGTGAAATAGAACAAATCCACAAAGCTGTCTTTTCTAGACAGGTCCATGTTTCAGTTTAAATCCTGACACTTCATAGCTCTTGATAGCTCTTTGTTTCTACCTTTACTATAAAACTCTTTCTGTATATCATCCCTATATCATGAGTGTAGAAAATTAAGTTAAAAAGTGTTGGATTTGCAGTCTTTTCAAAGTTATAGAAAGTCATCAGATGGAGCATTCTAAAAAACTACAGATGCCCAGCCTTGGGAAAGACTCTGGGACCTGGGAAGTGACAGTTATAGAGCCATAACAGTATTAATAATGACATGTATAACAGCTTCGAAAACATTTTGATGTATTTTATCTTATTTGATCCTTTTAACCTGTGGGGTAAGTAGGACCTGTAGTCTTGCCTTGCTTTATAGGCCAGAGGTCTTCAAACTTTGGCTTGCATCAAAATGGCCTGGAAGGTTTGTTGCTGTGCCCCACACCCAATTTTCTGAGTCTGTAGGTCTGAGGTAAGGCCTGAAAATTTGCATTTCTAACTTATTCCCAGAATGCTGGTCCAGGAACAGTTCTTGGCCATTTTTTAGTCTTTGTGAAGCTGGTTGGATTGTCTCAGTCATGAATTATAGTTCTGCATTGCCCTCGGAATAAAATCTAAATTAGTTGGAATGGCACACTGGTCCTGTATGCTGATTCCTATTTACCTCTCCAGTCATTCTGCAGAACTAGTAGTTCTTGACGGAAGCTGTCAAGGGCTACCATAATAAAAGTAAACAGATACTTATTTTCTTAGAGATCTTGAGGCCAGCAGTCTAAGATCAAGAGGCCAGCAGGGTTGGCTTCTTCCTAGACCTTGGCTTGTAGATGGCTTCTCTCTTGC